GCTAAAGTGTTGTTTTTTACCTATACCATGGGTCAGTTAAAGTAACGTCACCATGATTATACCTGCTAGACCTCATACATTTGCTGAGTACGGAAACTACGGTGAAGAGGCTGATTTTGTGAAGATTTAGATTTGAGTTAGAAGGCCAGGTTAGACAGTTCGTATATGAATAGCGCCATGCCTGCACTCTCGAACCGCGCGCGATTACTTGTTCCCTGTTTACCCTAGGTAACTCGACAGTACAGTTAGGATTGTTAACTGGTGTAGTGTTCCACGATACAGATTCTCTTCGGATCTCTTTTGGTAGAAGTGAAATAACGAGGAAAGAACGGTACTCGACGGAGGTGGCATAGCAGTAGAATAATTTTAGCTAATTTAAGAGATCAGGGAGAATATCAGGGCTGTTCCTTCAACATGAACTGATCTCTATGGCCGACTGAGAAGACAGCGATATCGCGAAAAAGGTGTTTTTAGCCTGACCTTTCACGAAAACGTTGACTTACTCTTCAAGTTGACAAAACCGGTGCCTCTGAGGGGTTCGTTCTGCTATAAAAACGGAAGTCGTACCTTGACTTCATTCTGCTTCCTGGTCTTTTCTTCGTTGTAGCTTAATAACACAAGCCATACTTTCTATGATTTATAGTGGACCCAACACCCACCCTACATGGCCAATATTATAGTTACAGCATGGCTGGAGAAGTGGCATACAGTTCGGTAGCTTCGAACTGACAGCGATGTGCTCTTCCACAGACCTCGGCGTTAGATTCTTTCTGGTAGTGAAAAGAACGGCCTAGCTGTTTGACGTGAGACAACTAGAGCGTTCCTTGTTCTCATGGCTCGCATTTTCGACGCTCAAGTTACACCAATGGGCCAATGCTCAGCATCAGCATTGAACTGGTGAAACTTGAGCATCGAAATGCATCGAATGTAAGCTTTGGTCTCCTGAAGGGGGCTGTTGGTATCGTTGGCAGTATGCCAGTTTGCTAGCTGTGTTTGATATTTATTTACAAATAGCCTTCCAATCCCAGAAGAATGGAAACTGAGGACCTAAATATCCGTGCTGATTACAATTTATAAATTTATAAATGCCTCCAAATCTCTACGATTCATTTTCTGTACCATACCCGAGAAATCGGCCATCAAAACGAATATAGCCTAGCAACCAATCCTACACCAGTTGAACTTATTTTAGATCTTATGATGATTAGATTCACGACCTTCCCCCACATAAAAGTTGAAATGGTAACGAGTAATGTTATCAAACTTGCTGACCATCTAGGGGTAATTTTAGTAAGGCAAGCGAGATTCAGATTTTGCTTGGTTTTCAGGTGGATTTTTTAGTGACGATCAAAAGTCTTCGGCCAAACGCCTTGAATGATTAGTTCCAGTACATAGGCTAGGGTTACGACTGAAAAGAAGGCTTGAAAAAGCATTTGGGCCAAAGATTTTGAGCACTACTGTATACCTACATAAATGTCTCTGATGTACGGCTTCCGTTCGCTCAGTTTTGCACCCCCTTGAGATCACCCCTTCCCATTGGAAGATTTTCCCCAAAAATACTATTTCGTTCATTTCTATTTCCTTAAATCAGGCCATTCCAGGTCGAACAATTCTATCCACATCATCTAAAGATGATGGTTTTGTTTGTGATCGCGGCACTTCATCTCGCTTATACTCGAGAGTTTTTGTCGACTTTCCGAGCTTACGAGTCACTCGCCAATCAGGTAATTCCATCAGTTCTTGGATTCTAACAATTGTTTTTCTCCTAGAAACCGTAGGTGTTTGTCTGTATTGTTTGAAAATACTACTAATTTGCAGGTAGAATACCGAGCATCTCCAGGTAGCGATAGTCAGGGAGACATTAACTTGGTGCGATTCGTGATGATCGCCTTTGTTGATGTAAGTTTCAAATAGCAATCTTTTTTTGGTGATTCGTTTTCCGAGCTTATTACAAATGTTCTATAAAGTTGCTCATGAGCTATGGCCCTATTGAGCCATGGTGGGTGTTTGTGTGCTCAACCGATACACTGGGATAAGGCTAAGCATGGTGATGACTTTGTCCCTATCTGTGGGGCCTGTACCTGTCTGTCATCTTTCCGGAGAGGGCCATCCCCCACTTGAATCGTTTTCGTCCACGATTAATAAGATGTACACGCAATTAAACATATGAGACATGAGAAATGAATCGGCAGAATGTCCACGAGAAATCTTTTCCGTGAAAGATGGAAGAAGAAATTCGGAATGCCAAATTTCTCCGTAAAGTTGGTGTTCTTCACAACTGGGCGATTGGGAGGCAGATGTAAATTTTTAATCGAATTAATTTTCGGCGAAATTTTAATGGGGAAGGGGAAGAGGGCTCTCTTCTAAAACGTTGAGTGGGAGATGAGGTGAGGTAGCCGACTCCGTAAGCCCATAATAGTATTCAGAAACTATTGCTATCTTCCCATTTGTGAGCCCATAATAGTATTCAGGAACTCTTGCTATCTTCCCATTTGTGAATCCAAACGCTTCCGTTTCTCTTGACAGTGCTCAACTTGCGGATGCACTTCATTAGCCTTTTCTCCTGGATTTTGCTTCAATCTTGCATTAGTGGTTTTGGTTCATTTCCTCCTACAAACGAATGTTCGGCTTGAGCTTCCCTTGAAGTGCAATCTTCATAATACGTTGTAAGGGTTGGATGGGCGGTGGTAGAGACAAGTGGCCCAGTACCACGTACGTGTGGCCATGGGCTTGAATCCCGGTTCGATATCCGCCTAGGCCAACTATGCCTTCCATCCCTCCGGGCTCGGGTAATTGGTACCAGATTGGTGGGAGGATAAGAGCACTGACTTGTACATGGGCTGACCACCGCAATCCGTTGTATAGGCCACATGCCATTTAATGCGTCATAAAGGTTTTGAGTGTAGGTCGAAGGCGAGGCGCATTCTTCTGACAGGATCGATTCACGCCTAAGACTTTAGCCTTCATCCTTTGAGGTTTGGATACTTAGTGTTCCCCCTCTCTTTTCCGACAGTTGAACTCCACCTTTTCAATCTCATGCTCGACCTACTGGTGAAGTTTTGAATTGCCAAAATAATCTGTCATGAAAATAAATCTCTTTCTATTTTGAGCTTTTTAGCTTCACCAGGGGGAGGGGTTGTTTTAGTTCTTAACCTCTACGTACTGCTTGGGGAGGATGTGTCACAGAGACGGTCAAGTCGAGTATGGGGACGGACCAGCTGGTTTAGTGTGGCTTTTTTACATCAGTATCGAATCAAGCGAAAGGCGATGCATAGAGCTACGAAAAACCCTCTGAGTCGACTGGACCCTCGCGAACGATGGGCATTACCACAACCTTACCAACCATGTCGATCTCTCATCAATAATAAACGAAAGTTGGGGAAAGAGGCAACTTTATGAGATGACAAGTGAGCTGTTTTTCGGTAGCTGCTCGTAGACCAATAAAAACAATAAGAACTACTGTATGGAGTGAGGCCCACTCCTATGGTATGGTACCAGTTGTTCAATTTCTATCGAATACTGCATCAGTACATGAAGTTGCCAATGGTCTGTGTGGATCATGTTCAACTCAGATTCTTTTACTCTTCTTCTGTTCCACGAAAACGTTAAATGGGACTTTTATCGAACTTATTGAGAACACGGTCAACTTGCTAAAATGAAAAAAGCAAAAAACTGATATTGGTTTCTACAAACACACCTATGTAAATTTGTTTTTAGTATAAGAAGAACTTGTGGATGACTGTTGGTGCAATGTGCGCATCGCTTTCGACCAGCGCTATCATCTTGTTCTTCTACAACTCCTATTGGAATCAAATGAGCCGAGTCACCAAGGCAGTGGTGAGTTCCTTGAATTTTCTTCATTTTCGCTTCTCAAATCGCCAGTTCAAGACCAAAGTTCACAATAAAAATGAGTTCTAAATCGTTCCCATTCTAAAGGACACCTCCAGGTCGAAAAGCGGCCTAGATAGGTCGTGATAGGGGCCCCCGAAGCAGGCTCAGCCGACGGACACATCCAAAGGCGGACGAGTTTTTCTGGCGTTGTAGAGGCTGTGGAGTATGCATCATCCTTGAAGGGGAGCACATATTGCACGCAGGTAGATTACTGCAGCCAGCTGCATGCTGTGGCACACATATTTGGACAGCTCGTCCAAACACCCCTCCATTATTTCGGTGAATACACCGATTATCGCATTTTCTTGACCACCTTTGCACTATTTTGGTCTAACTATACCACTAACCTTCCGAAATTAGATACCCCAAATTTATCGTGAACTGTGCTTTTGAAAATTTCAAGCTGTGGCAGAAGGGCGGCTGGACCTTAGTGTAATTCCCGTTCATGCCAGCGCGAGAACTCAAGGAAGGATGCATAGGTTATTGAATAGCCAGTGACCAAACTTCTTCTGAAAGCTGTAAATTAACATTGCTCCTTTGCGTTTATTTTAGGCTTGCGGGAAATATTACTAGGCGAAGAAGAGATGAAAAAAGAATTCGACTATTTTCAGCCTCTATGATAAGTGGGTTGTAATGAGAGTATGTGACCTGTGGTCTTCGTACAGTTGGCGCGTCGTGTCACCCTCAGCCAATTTTCATGTCACTATTTTGCCCTCTCCGGTCTTTCTGACAGTTCCTCACCGACTGCACTGGATGAAGGTCTCGGTGAAAATTGTATTCAGTGGGGGGGG